TACTGTGCCAGGAAATAAAAATCAGATTAAGTGGGATTTGGGGGGCACAGGAGACTCCTTCAGGGGAGTCTGAATTTCTGATTGGAGGTTTAACTCCACTGTCTCAAGCTTCCATTCTGGCTTCCCATGTTTATTCCACTCCATTTTCATTTCTCTCCCTTGGTTAGATCCCAAGTCCCAACGTTTTGTGTATTCTTGTTGACCAAAGGTGTGGACTGAGCTGTACTGGTTTGTTTACTTGAGGATCAGCTGTTGTGGGCAGGGGAGAAATATTAGTTTAAACTGGAATCAAGAACCTACAGCCACAAGAAAAATAAACCAGAGGGAGAGAGAGAAACTGGATAATGTGGGATCATTTCTCTATGAGTCAGTCCTTGTGGGGGTTTTCTCTCCCTGGTGACCATAAGGATAGGCAAGGAGATCTTAACAACTCAGAGTTCACATTCCAAATGACATATTTGGGGTTTTTTTTAATTATTAATTTGACAGACAGCTAAAAGGTAGCAAAAGAATAAGTGGATAGAAGAATAAAAGGGGTGATAAAACTTCTTTTCTTTCCCTACAGCTCTGGCATTAAAACAACTCTGTGTTCCCCATAGGTATAGTCATTTACCGTGACTAATGGGAATAATGTACTACATTTCATAATACTGATCTGTCTGGCAATTTGAGAAAAACTCATAGCTGATAGCTACACTTAGCATCTAAAAATACTTATCGCAATAAACCCTCAAGGCAAATTTTCTGTCTAAAATAAATACTCTTGAGACTTTCTAGAGAGGCAAAAAAAAAAAAAAACTTTTTGGAATGCTGAGGAAGGAATCTACCCTCTCTCCTTCCCTGTTTTGAATAAATGCTTAATCCTATCACGTTTCTCCCCTGCTGAGTGCTTGCCTTATGTGCAGTTTAAGATGGTGTTTAAAATTGTCAAAATTCCTTCGACAAAACAAAATTCCTGTTTCCCCTAAAAATGGACACAAACTGATGTTAGAAGCTGGCACAGATGTTAGAAATTCCATCCTCTTTCCAAAAAAGGACCAAATGGTGTGTGAGGTAATGTCCCTTTTTGGCAAATTCTTATTTCCTCCCCCGGAACCTGGCTGTAATTGTCCGCATGCCCATCAAAGTGGGTGGACATCACACACAACTTGCCTGCATAGCACTCCCTAAGAGTTACATGTAGATCCTTCCAAATGCAGGGTGTATGTAAAAAATGATCTGGAATCAAGAGTTGCTACTTGTAACATTTTCCATACTGAGTCAGGGAAGGGAGGGGCACTTTGCTCTGAACACAGAGAGAGGGAACCATCCTAACGGTACACAGAAGACTATAAACTTTCAAACCAAAACCAGGTTTATGTCTTCCTAAACTACGCACACTTGCATACAGGTAACAAGCTATCAAATGCTCAAAAGCTAAAATTGTTTTTTATTTTTATAATTGCTTTTTATTCATTTCTTATAAAAAATAGTAACCTGGAAAGGAAAAACTAAGCCATCTATACTCCAATAAAACATGTAACCTGATGGCATCCATAAGCCAGGACTATTTTGCTGCAAATAAAATAATTCAGGAAAATCAGCTATGCATTAATTTCATGAAGGTGTGTGTGCTTGTTTGGTTAATTTCTTGTCATGGTAATGGTGCACTTTTAGTTCCATCTGAAAACCAACTTCAACATTTTACACAGATTTGCATGGCTCTGTGTATATTCTGGTGAGGGTTTTCAAGCTTAAAACCTAAAATTTAAATTTCTAATATTCACCAAGGTTAATAAATAACTTCTTACAAATCAAGAATTAGGTTTGATTTTAAAGCACAAAATTAAAACATAAAATGATTTTGAACATAAGAATTGTGAATATTTGAGGAGATAAATCCTTATAAAACATCACTCACACACACTAGTCAATTTTTTTTTCTTCTGCTAGTATGGAAAATATATGTATTTTAAATCTTCAAATTATTCTGATTTCTTAAACTCATCCAAAGTCTCCTCTTAAAATGTTATTTACGTTTCCTGTTGCCCAAATGGCTTAAATAATGCTTTAAATGTATCCAATAATACCTCCACATTGAACAAATAAAGAGAATGCACGTTTAAAACAAAGATCTTACAAGATATTAGTTAAACGTGTCTATCACATAGCTGATAATCCTTACAGTGATGTCAATATTGGCCAGAGGAGGAAGGTGGCTAAGAAAAAAAAAAGGGGGCATGAAAGTTTCTTAACCGAAGATAAGCATGCAATAAAATGAGAAAACTGAATACACCTGGCTAGAACAAAAGTACTCAGCAGAAATTACCTTTAGATACAGTCTTCATAATGAGACCGTTCCATAAACAAACCCCAAAACCAATCTCACTATTCCTCGTCATGTCTCATGGGTTTAGCCATTAAATGTAGCATACGGCAAATCTCTTAAGACCAAATATTATAACATACTTGAATAGGAATCGGTTTTTATTATGACCATTACTATTGTTTTTCCAAAGTCATTAACTTTACCCAAAATGAAAGCCATTGCTAATGAAAATATGTGAACACAGACATTGACAAGAAAAAAAAAATCTTGTAATCCTTAAAGGCAAAGCAACATGTGGAAGATTGACTTCATCATTTTGAAGATCAAAACGTCTCCCCTTACACGTTACATAACAACCTCACTAAAACAACTGGAAAAAATACAGATTTCCTAATAAAACTTCTTTAATATGTGTTCTACTAGAGGAGAATTTCACCCAAAGCCCTAGTTCACAAAATTCCCCAAACCAAGAGGCGGACAACTCATTCTGCAGCCGAAGGCAGTCTCCCTGATACACTTCCTCAAAGATGGCTGATATACACGGCACCTCATAACTACGTAAAGATGGTTGCTCAGATTAAATTATGCAAACTTAGTTTCAAAATAATCTACTCAAGTTTCAGCACATTAAAGATGGACCTGCAAAGCGTTTGCTGTGTTAAGCCTGGTTCCAGAAGAACTTCAGTGGGTACTGAGGGGAGTTCATCCTTATAAAGAAAGACTTTGAAACCTAAGCACGCAAACATCAAATCCCATAGGCACATTCACTGGCTTTGGACCTGCCCTGAACACCGTCATCAGTGCAAATCCAGGCACAGCCAGGAAGGTACTTCTTGAGGTCTCCATCCTAGACGCCAGCAGGAGAGGCCATCTTTGAAAAGCTCAGCTTATCTTATCAAATAAAATTCCAAAGACAGAATTTTCAAATGAGGGTGAATTTATCGGGTAAATTATTCACTGTATGAGGTAATTAAAATATACTTTAAATGATCCATTTTCCACAAAATGGCATTTATTTTCAATCTGGCAACATTTCATAATCAGATACCTATCTACAAAGATTTTTCTGTGGACATAAAATTCCTAATTTTCTTTTAATTAAAAGTAAATAATAGGATAATGCAGGTTGATTACAGTGCTGGAGCAATTTGAATAAACTCAATTATGCAGCCTAATTTCAAGCCACAAGACATGGGCCCGGTAAGAAGCACATCAGATGTTTCCCAATCAGTAACTGGTCAAAGTGGTTTTTAACAAGTGAATTTTAGATTTAAATATTTTTTGTATGCTGTTTTGTATTTATATTAAGGACTAAGAGAAATTTTAAATGATGTACATAATAAACTGTCAAGCACATTTAGAAAGTCTCAGCTGAAGTAATTTGGAAAACAATAGTCCCAGGATAATAATATGAAAGATTTTCATTTTGAAATATTGAAGACTGTTAGCAGTTGAACGTTAGATAAAATATCTAATGAAAGCAAAAAGTTGTCATCAATGGGGTTTTAACATTCCACCAGTCAAAAAAAGGGAACCATTTTGTTTTGAAACATGATACCAGCGTTCTTTGATGTCAAACTTGAATTTTCGCTATTCTTTCTTACTATAAGTCAGTCTTAAAAACAATCCACATTTAAGTGCTATTTACTTCCATTTGCATCCCATCATTTCTACTTCTACGTGTTAATGGGTTTATATAACTCCAAGTATCAATACAGCAGCACCGGGGAAGCCTCTCCGCTGTTCTACCCGATCGATTTTGCTATACTCGTGTGCGTTTCTCTCCTTTTGGAAGTTTCTCCAAAACCTTCATCATTCAGAATTTCCTATACTTCTTACACTAGTTTTGAGGACTTCATTATAAGCTGAGTAAACCCACAGGGGAATAAAGAACCTTCAAACAAGCCAATATTCTAGGCCCTAAACTGTCAAAGAAGGAACGAACAAAACAAAACATCACCGTTTTACTTGGACGTCCACCAAATGGGCTGAAAGCGCTTCTCAGGGCCTGCAGACCACCCTCGACCTACTCACGCGTTGGTAAGGCAGGCTCTGAAAATTCGCGATTAAAGTCGCAGGGTTCATCCGAGTCACAGGATGGTAACAATGGAAAACGGCTGCGGCTGCGTAGCTGAGAATTCTTCGCAAGGGCCTTCTTGAAACGTGTCTATACTTTTCAGGGCAACGCAAAATACCTTGCTCACAAACCCTCGCCTCCTTTTCACCCCAGTGTCACTGGCTGACTTCAGGGGCACCATTATGGGTGGTTTTGTTCGTGGCAACATTTTACTTACACACCCTCACGCGCACACACACTCATGCACGGCTCTCCAGACATTGCAGCGGCCTCTGGGGACCAGAAAGATGAAACAGTCTCTGGGCCATTCCCCCTACCCCTCCGCCCCCCAATTTGAGCTATTTTAGTCCAAAATATCCAGTAACATCCCTGAAGAGAAAAGAAAACGGATAAGGAAAAACAGTTATTTCCCCCAAAACATTTGGCTCCCCTCTCCCCAACCTCACAAACAGGCAGAATAAGTAACACCGCCTCTGTCCAGAAAACTTCAAACGCAAAAGAGACGAACTAAGTTTAGCTGGGACAGGAGGAGATGAAGTCACAGAAGGGGGCGCCCGGGGCCCCCAATCGCACCCCCCACGGCCCCGCTCCCAGCTCCCAGCTCCCTCCTCTTACTTTTGGATGATCTGGGGTAGGCCAGTCGGAGGCGGCGGCGGCGGCGGCAGCGGCTGCATCCCTCTTGGGCCCGGGGGGGCCGGGGGCACCGAGGCGCCGGGCACGCTGCGGGCATCTCTGTCCGCTGGCTCCGGGCCGCTGGGGTCCGCGTCCTGGCTCATGGCTGCGGCCAGCACCATGCGCGGCGACACCGGCCCGGGCTCGCGGCTAAAGAGCGCGCGCGAGGGGCGGCCCCGGGACACCGGCACTCACTGGCTGGGGTCCCCGCACCCAGTCCCCTTGTCCTTCCCGGTGGCGCGGGGAGTAGACGCGAGGGGCGGGGAGGAGGCAGTCCCGGCGGCGCCGCCTCCGCCTCCTCCCGCCGCTCCCGCTCCTGGCCGGGCCAAGCGGGGTGGGGGCCAGGGGGCGTCTCCCGGCTGGAGGAGCCGCGGGGTGGCTGGGGAGCTCTGTCCTTCGGTCCGGGCTCGGCGAGCGGGCAGGGAAAACGGCGTGCGCCCCTTGCCACCGCGCGCCCTCAGGCTCCCAGGCCGGGCGCTCTGCCGCGGGCTCTACCGCGTGAGGCGGCGAGACGCACGCCGAACCGCGCTTGGCTGCCGCGTGCTCGCCTCCCCTGGTAGCCAGGCGGTCGCGAGCTGTCCCCGGGGGCGGCGCGCACGGCCAGTCGCCGCTCCTGCCAAGCGGGGCGGACAGAGCGCGCCCGGGGCGTCCGCGCGTCTCCCTGTGCGAAGTGCGCGGGGCTGACACTTTCCGGCTGCTGGAGCCCCGCCAGTGCGCTCACGGACCCGGGCCCCAGACCCAGCGTGGGGACGGCCCAGACCTCCCCCAGGACGGTGGGAGGGCTCCCTAAATGGGCAGCTCCGGCTCTGATTTCAGGGGTCCCCAGAAGCAGCCCGCAGGGCCGCCGTGGTTTTCTGTTCATTTCTTTTTCGCTTCTCTGAAAGACCCGCCACGACCCCGCGAGCGCAGAGACAAAAATCAAGCATACATTTTTACTTTTGTTATTTATTGGCTATCCTCAATGGCAATGTAGAGGATAAAAGGAGAGAGATCGCTGACATCACGCCGCCACCATCACCGCCTCTGAAGCTCGGTTCATTGCCCGGGCGCCTGTGTGCACTCGTCCACCCGCACCTGCCCCACAACTGTGCACGGGCATTCTGCGCTTTTGAAGGCTGCGGAGACATCTGGCAAAGTGCGGCTTAAGGTCCTGTCGCGCCGGTAGGGACAGAAACGTTTAGGAGCTGGGCAAAGACTATGGAGAGTGGTTACCCAGGGGATTCTAACCGTCTTTTGGGCGGGCGCACGGAGTTGTAAATCCTAACACCGGCAACCCCGGGAAGCGTTTTGGAAGGTAAAGTGTTTTGGGTGCCTCGGAAGCCAGAGCATGTTCCAGGTTGCCCCGTGGCATGGAGAGGGACTTGCTGAGGGTCTCAGGCCGACCTGCCTCCCTCCCGCAGCCATGCGGAGGAAAATTATGGAGAAGGGTTCTCTGGGACCTGGCAACTAAATAAATTGCCTTCTGAAAGATGGTTTCTTCTCTCCCCAGACTGCTGCAGATTTCTACCTTCTGTGCCAATCTCATAAAACGACGCCTCCCATGATTTCTGCGGTCCTACCTAAGTCTCTGTCTCTCTGCCTCTGTCTCTGTCTTTTCCTCTGACAGATAAAATAATACTCTCAATTCCTTGTGTTCGTAAAGATAGTCACAGTTCAGAAACTTGAGTCTCACAAAAATCCCAGGTAATGTTGTTCCCGTTGTCACAAATGCGGAGACTGAGACTCAGCAGGGGTGGTTTGCCCAACCGTAGGCATGGCGGTAGGAGACCAACGGAATATGCGTCTCTTCTGGGGCTCTGTGAAGGTCTTAGTTCATCATCTTTAGCTTCTATCACTGAATTGCGGACTGTGGCTTCCAGAAACTTAATGATTTTCCCCCTTGACTTTTGCAACTCTCCCAGAAGTTAGAATGAAAACTTTCCGTAGGTCTAAGTCCAGATTGCTACTTACTGAGGTGACTCAGCCTCCCTGAGTGTCCATTACCAAACACGTGAATCTGGAGTGATGAGGTCCTGGCTTGCAGAGTCACTGTTAGCATTAAGGATGACTTGCATATCTGCTAAAGGAAGTGTTCAATCAGGCACTTACTACAAACATAATTCCTTATATTCTAACACTTGTTGCCAAAAAGAACAGATATCTAGGGAGCTGACTACGAAGTCTCAATATTGATATAATTAAGTCCACCCTGTAACAGAGCAGTTTTACTGATTATA